CTGCTCTCCCTTACCCTACCAACCTCCTGTTCTTCTACTTCAAATGTAATTAATATACCTATTGCTGAATTCTGCTTCTTCTACTTCTATTAAATGTTCCAATTTGTGACTGCTGTTTTTGCCAGAATTGACTCCTTAGCACTGAAATAACAGCAGCTAATAGTATGTTGGTAGCAGTAATATCGTTCTCCTCCTCTTCCTTCTTACTCCTCCTCCTCCTTTCTCCTTATCCTCCTCCTCCTTTCCCTCCTCCTTCTTTCTCCTTATCCTCCTCCTCCTTTCCCTCATCCTCCCCCTCCCTTCTCCTTATCCTCATCCCTTCTCCTTCTCCTCTTATCTTCTCCTTCTCCTCCTCCTCCTTTCCCTCCTCCTCCTTTCTCCTTATCCTCCTCCTCCTTTCCCTCCTCCTCCTTTGTCCTTATCCTCCTCCTCCTTTCCCTCCTCCTCCTTTCTCCTTCTCCTCCCCCTCCTTTCCCCTCCTCCTCCTTCTCCTCCTCCTCCTTTCCCTCCTCCTCCTTCTCCTTCTCCTCCTCCTCCTCCTCCTTTGCCTCCTCCTCCTTTCCCTCATCCTCCCCCTCCCTTCTCCTTATCCTCCTCCCTTCTCCTTCTCCCTTCTCCCTTCTCCTTCTCCTCCTTCTCCTAATCCTCCTCTTCCTCCTCCTTTCCCTCCTCCTCCCTTCTCCTCCTCCTCCCCTTTCCCTCCTCCTCCTCCTCCTTTCCCTCCTCCTCCCTTCTCCTCCTCCTCCCCCTTCCCTCCTCCTTATCCTCCTCCTCCTTATCCTTCTCCTTCTTCTTCTTCTTCTACAAAAGATCACGACGATTGCAAGAACTGATCAAATACGTTACAGTCAAGTGTGGGTTGGCTGCACTCAACGAAACTCGAGGCCAGCAGTGGCTTCCTGATAAAACCGGCCAACCCACAAAATTGAGGGTTGGTCGGTTTTATCGGGGAAAATTTGAGCGACATAACCGTCTAACCCACGCAGTTTCGTTAAAAGCGATTTTTAAAGGAAAAAAAAAGGTCTACAGTTTTTCGGTAAAGTGTTTTTATAGGTGTTTAAAGCATTGATTTATCGCTAGACGCCTTTGTTTTGAAATAAAACAGTTTTTTCCTTCTCCTGTAAAATTTACCTCGCTGGGGTTAGCCGGTTTTATCACAAGGCCGACGATATCTTATTTTAGTGGAGGTTTTACGGCGCTCGCAACAGCATAAAGTCATTTGAGCGCCAAGGGGTGGATGTCAACAGAGAAGTCCTTACAGGGAATCAAACTTACTCTGCTCACATCTCTAGCTTCAACAGCACAAAGTCTTCTTCGACTATCAAGGCACCCCGGAAATAGCGGCTCACAAGAGAGTGACAAACATACGAAAGAAGTAGAGGAAAATGACGATAGTAAGGATTAGGAGAGAAAAAGCATCAGTTCCCTGTTGTAGTTCAGGCACAGTTATGAGCATGACATTGTTGGATCAGCCCGTTTACAATTCTACTGTGCATTAGAACGAGAAATGTCCCTCATTTGGGAATAGCCTAAAGGCACTTCAGTCAGTGGCACCTCCCCTGGGGGAAAACAATATAAAATGGAAGAGGCTAGAGAGACCAGGATCCTGGTCTGTCTAGCCTGTGAGTCTTGAGAGACCAGGATCCTGGTCTGTCTAGCCTGTGAGTCTAGAGAGACCAGGATCCTGGTCTGGTGTGGTCTATTGTCTCTAAAGAGACCAGGATCGTGGTCTGGTGTGGCCTATTGTCTCTAAAGAGACCAGGATTGTGGTCTGGTGTGGTCTATTGTTATGATCGTGGTCTGGTGTGGCCTATTGTCTCTAAAGAGACCAGGATCGTGGTCTGGTGTGGCCTATTGTCTCTAAAGAGACCAGGATCGTGGTCTGGTGTGGCCTATTGTCTCTAAAGAGACCAGGATCGTGGTCTGGTGTGACCTATTGTCTCTAAAGAGACCAGGATCGTGGTCTGGTGTGGCCTATTGTTATGATCGTGGTCTGGTGTGGCCTATTGTCTCTAAAGAGACCAGGATCGTGGTCTGGTGTGACCTATTGTCTCTAAAGAGACCAGGATCGTGGTCTGGTGTGGCCTATTGTTATGATCGTGGTCTGGTGTGGCCTATTGTCTCTAAAGAGACCAGGATCGTGGTCTGGTGTGGTCTATTGTCTCTAAAGAGACCAGGATCGTGGTCTGGTGTGGTCTATTGTTATGATCGTGGTCTGGTGTGGTCTATTGTTATGATCGTGGTCTGGTGTGGCCTATTGTCAAACTGGACTTCCCTACCACTAGATGCTCGTTGCTTTCGGCTTTCCTCGACGTTAAGACGGCCATAAAATCATCAAATGAGTCGAAATACTGCCCTACGGAAATGGGGGCCGCCATCTTGAAGTCGAAAATTGAAAGGAAAGGAAGTTGGACTCGGGGTTTGAGCATGTGCACACGCAGAAAATTTCCCTGGTCTCCCTAGCCAGGCTGGCTAGGGAGACCAGGATCCTGGTCTCGGGAGACACTTCTATATAAAATCTAGAAATCAAAATTATAAGGATTTATTCGAATAAACAGCTATTCCAATGTTCCACTAAAGTTGATTTGATTCCTTAACGTTCAGAAACTCGGTTAACTGATAACAGTGACTAAAAATCATTGTGATTTACAGAAGAAGAAATTATTCCCGAATACTTTGATAATGTTAATGATTTGTTGGAAAAGGAGCTTTGCACCACAACGTGTTGTCACATGTCATAAACCAAGATAATTGAACTCACCCTACTTGGTCTGGCGGAAGTGATGTAACAAAAGAGGATGATGGCCACAATTCCAAGAATTGCTTGGGAGTTTTGAGGTTGTTCTTTTAGGATTCCGACGCCCAGATACACACAGACGACAACCAGAGCAACACCATACATGGCGCTGTAACAGTGAAGGGTAGATTAGGGATGGTCACTGGATAAGGATATTTTCACACATGAACTAAAAGAAAACGTCCACACATGAAATAAACTTCTAAAACAAAACAAGCAAAACTATGAATAAAGTGTAGAGCAAACAAAAGAGGGAAAATAGAAGTCTTAAACAATATTTTAAAAGTACAAACAAACTGAAATAAGCTTAGCACAAGACGATGCACTATAGTGAAACACTATTATTATTGGATGATTTTGCGGACAGTCAGAACAGGGCGTCGTAACTTTAATACAGACATGCTAAATCTGACTAGATAAGATATTATAGAGTATGCACATTAAATGTCTTAAAAGCTGTGTATTGCTGTTAAAGTTTAACATCTCTGACAAAATGAGGTCTTTTTGAGGACTCATTTAGACACTACCTGTAGAGTTAGTACTTCAAGATAAGAGTGAAAAATAATTTTCACCAAGAGAAATTTCTCTAGTCAGACCAAGTTGGTTACCGGTCCTTTAGAAGATGAGGGTATATCTCTCGGAGGTTCCTCCTCTTGAATAACCAATAAGTGTTGACAGGGGCGTTAAACCTCCTGGAAATGGATGGCTGGTACTCTAAAATAAATCATTGATGATCAAGGGCGTTAAACCTATACCATTTCACCATTTTTTAATTGGTTTCTTATTATGAGTTAGCGACAGACAAGAGAAGGAAGAAAGACATACCCAAAGCAACCAGACGAACATGGATCTCTTGAAAGGAGCCACAAAAGTGTGTGTGTGTGGGGGGGGGGGGGTCTATAAAGATCAACATTTTGGATTTTCAAAAAGGGTTTCATCATCCCAGCCATGTAGACAATCAATGACCCAGACCTACACGTAAGCACACAGGAGAGCAGAGCATGAACGATATGAGTCTCAGCTCCTGTCGTAGTTAACGTCATCATCATGTGACTTGTTCACAACAAACATTGTAAAAGATAATCACCGCGACTGTGACTGCTAAACTTTGCGGATTTTGCGATTCCCTTTGATCAGTTTCTTTATGTGGTTCATGATTTCAGTCCCGGCGTCAGACAGCACAGATTGTTGTCGCTGGGAGGGGACGTATGCCACCATCCGAACTCTCATCAGTTCTACCCTGTTAAAACGTGTTTACACCTATCTGCGGCAATAGAAAACTCATTTCAAAGTAGTGCGGCTTTTTCTTTTACTTGGCGTTTCACTGTCAAAGTGCTCGTTAGACATGTGCGTAGACAATCCAAATGATAACGTTATGCACACACAGATTGTGAGGAAAAAACGGGGTAAAAAGAAGCAGAATAATGTGAACGGTAACGTCTTCCCTGATTTATTTCAAAATGATACCCCCCCCCCACACAAACAAACAAAAAATTAATAAAAATCAAAACAAATTTTAAAAAATACAAAAAATATATTAAAAT